GTTCCGTGTCTAAGTCGCACTGGCCATGTGACCAGGGAAGATTGTCTTCGGACAAAAAACGCTGGCTCTATGGTTTGGAAACAGGGATGAGCAACGCCCCCTAGAGTCGAACACGACTGGACAAAAATTGTCAAGGGGAACCTTTACCTCTACCTTTTACTGAAAAAGAGCTGAACTAGAGGAGACCAGGAATGGATGTGGAATTGTGATGGATAGGTTGGTGAAAACACCGAGTTAGTGTGTAGCAGCTGTAAAAAAAAAAAAGAAAAGAAAAGAAAAGAAAAGAAAAGGGAAATTCCATGCTACAGATTTTTTCCAGTCTGGCTTTTAATTATTTTTATTTTGGGATGGGTAGTTTAGTGTCTTGGTATTACTGTTATATTTTAAAACAGTTATTGCTTGTTTTAGTGGCCATTTTTGGTAAACCATCTTGTGGGGGCTTTTTAAAGAATGAAATATGGTATAGAAATGTTTGTGTTTAACACTCCCCCCGAAAGGGATTGTTATAGGCAGGAAGTATAATAACGTCTTTATATAAAATCTCTGCTATGGCCGCATTTAGAATATTGTGTTGAGTTTTGACTGAAAGGTATAAAGATGGATAAAGTACTGAAAAAAGCAACTAAAATGATTTGAATGGCTTCGCTTAGGGAAAAGCTTGAAACTTCAGGCTTTCTGGAGTATGTGTGCAGTATGTGTGTGTGGAGGCAACAATGCAGTGCTGCACATACCTACTGAGGTGTACGTTCTACACAAGGTCATTGGGATTTAATCTTAAGTGAGTGCAGAGTTGTAGTCTAGATGCTCAAAAGTCTTCACTAAGCAGGCACACTTAAGTTAATACAATTAGGTTTACACACACGAATGCCATTCTTGGCTGTAATTCTCTATATGCATAACTTGAAAGTAAGCTCCATTGAATGTAGCAGGGCTTACATCAACTGTCTGAATAGCTCAGTGGTTTAGATATCTGGCTGTGGAGCCAGAGGTTGGGAGTTCGATTCCCCACTTTGCCTCCTGTGAGTAGAGCCAGGCTGTGTGGCTTTGGGCAAGCTGGGGCCTAAAACCTTATAAGAAGAGAAGACCTTTCCCTCCTCCTGCTGCTGCTCCTCGTCCTCCCTCCCTTCTCACCTGTGGAAAAAAAAAATTGTGAATGCGGTGAACTTAACAACCCTCCTAGATTTCTCTGATGGAAAACCTGTAAGATTTGGTTGATTGAATGAAAAGTCCAGTGCAAAAGAAAGGATAAATAGTGAATTTGCTCACCTCTCACAAGGATGG